CAGTCCAACAGGTTTGGACGCCTTCACTTTTTTTCGAAAACTTTACCTTGGCCATCGGGCGTTTTGGCGTTGGCAGTGTGGCTGCAGCACCGTGTCGTAGCGGTGGCAAAAAGAATATGTGTATTCGATAGACGCAGTTGGTATTGCTACATACTTAGCAACTAGAACACATGTGACAGAACAGGTTCGCGTCGAGATTCTGTAACGCCATGTCGAAATCATTCAACAATTAACTCAAAATCGGTTTTCACTTAGCGCGCAATTGAAGGTACGAGAACAAATCAGCGACATTATAAGGAGATGCGCACGCGCGCGCGATCCTAGCGTTATTAGTACGTGCATGCAATAAACAGAAAGCGAAACAAATTAGTCGGGCGATGAATATCTCATGCTTGTTGTGTGTAAACCTCTTTAATATTTTTATTGCCCGTCTTTATAGCGTCGTTAAAAATGTTTATCTTTTGCTGCGCTTTGGCTGTAAACATCTTGCGCCGCAGTCGCATCTAATCTTTCATCCGCGCAAAAATCGCTTGCTAGGAAAATAGCATTTTTCGAAAATTGGTTCTGCGCGGGCAGCACCACGCTCGTGTGCTGGCATTGCATAATTAATTTCTTGCACTTTGGCAATTAAGAAAGAGTCGAATGGTTCGAAGGTGTTGGATTGCGTTTCGCCTGCATGATGCATTTAACCAACCCAAAGATGGATCGCGAATGGTGTTGGTGTAATGGGCTAGGAATTTAGTAATACGAAGGGAACGGCGTTGCTTCTCCAATGTTTTCACAATGCGAAGGTGTGAGAAGAGGATGTGTCGAAATTTCCAACAGTCCGCTTTGTCAATTTATTATATTGTATATCGATGCAGGATGATTCATGCAAAATGTCACGCGGAGGGTCTGATTATTATTTCTGCATCTATGAAGCAATGATGTTTTGGGCTAGTTGTGTTTTTTCGTTGGGCGAACGTTGACCCACGTTGCCGGGATGGGTTGACGGCTCCGTGCGTTGGGTGCCGCCGAACATGTCGCCGCATTTGTGTGCACATAGAAAGCGTCACACATCGGCATTGCGCACGCATGTGAAGACCACGACGACGACGACGACGGCGACGAGGTGGACACTCGCGCACGCTTCTTCTTCTTCACCACAAGCAACCGTCGTAGTATTATATGACCGCCGACCAAACTAAACCCGTTCGGACTCTTAATCGTTTTTGTTTCGACTTTATTTCTTTCGCTTTATTTTGATTGCAGAACGTTTGCGAAATCTAAACGAACGAAAAACGCATTTCTTTCAAGCGCGATCGGGCACAATGAATACCCGGCTGAAAAAAGCAGCAGGCGCACGGAAAAAACTGCAACAACCAAAGACAAAGGTGTATCAAAAAAAGCACGCCCGCCGGATTGTAAACTCGGCTTCATTTCAATGAACAAACCTGAATGAAGAGCCGTGCGTGGCAGTGATGCAGAGAGTCGTGCTGAGCGAAGAATGTCAGCCGTATACATACAGGTATTTAAACACAATCAGTTTTGAACTCATGAATGAAATCAATTCTCCCAACGCACTCCGCATGATTTCGAGTGTTTATTAACATAAGATGCAATCTAAGCACAAACGCGCAAACTTTGTTTCCCAAGCACAGCGCAATTAAACACGCAGCAATAATAATATTGCTGTTTGAAGGTCGAAAAGCTGGCCGAAGCAATACGCCTGAACATACGAGTTCTTGTACATATTAAACTAAGGCGCGTGCAAAATTTATTATCGATTCGAAACGTTCGAACACCATGACAACAATTTATGTGATACGACTACTGAATTAACTAGTTTTTATTCTCGATTATTTATTTTTGTTTTCCAGCGAGTGCGTAAAAATGATCCTCGAAAAATGTTCGCAATCCACGGAGTTGGGTGAAAGTTGAGGCATAAATCAATCCGGGATGTGTGCGCAGCATTAGCTAATTTGATTGCGTCTTTTGTAATTAATTATGATTTACTGAATGCGTATGTCACGGTGGTAATGTAATTGTACTTCTTCGCTCCACGTTGGCGAACACACACCACAGCGTGTGTGCGTTGCGTCAGCGTTGTCTCGCGCATTTGAATATATACGAAATTTCGAGAGCCCATTGTGATAACAAACATAAATCAGGTATTTTATGTGTGTACGCGCTTCAACATTTTCTAGGTGTCCATGCTGTTTGAATTCTCGCGTGAGATTTTCGATAAAATGCGCGCGCGTCTTCAAGTTCGTAGTTCGGGGTCAGCGGGAACATTTCTACAAATTTGGAAACCGCCGATCGAAAATCAAACTCACCAATTTATTTATTCTAACCAGTTTTCACGCTAACTGTGTCCTAGCTGAAATCTAAGCCTGAGTTATGATTCACGTTGTTAGGTATTATTATTACAATTATATGAATGAATCGAGTTGAGCGAAACATCGAAACTGGTGTACGTGTGTGTGTTGGTGCGCAGGTTTGATATGGTAGGCTTTTGATTGGAAATATAATTGACTTGTTAAATTGAAATTGGACGTCGGATTTGAATTGATATGCGCGCGCGCGTCGACCGGCGTCGACTAATCAATTTAAATAACGAGCCGAGAGAGCGACGATGTGTGTTTATTCGTGCAAGCGTTTTATTATGTTGCATTGCTGGCGAGCGCAGACAAGATAATGCGCAGATGATTCGCGCTCTTTGCGTGTGTCCAAGTGCGCTATGATTGATGGATTCGTCGGCTCTCCGCCAAAGATCAACTTCGGACGAAATTCGCTCAAAATTATCAACATTTTTGGGTTCACTCACTATTGTTCCTCTCGTTCACACCGATATCAAAGCGCGCTTATTGAAGTTCAACCTATCAATTTTGTAATTTATAAGCCATGCCCGAGCGCCTGAAGTGCAGCAACGGAAAAAACGTCGACTAAAAATTCAGCATCCATCCTCGAGATCGAAGGTAATAAGAAAGCACCGAATGCATTTGAGCAGCGCGCGCAAACGTACAATCGATCAGCGCACCTCTGCTACCAGCTACGTTTCGTGCACACGTACACCGGTTGTTGGACGTCTTTCATCTCGTGCGAGAGAAGACAACACACAAAATAAACGAGTTGAATTGATCGAGATTTCGGACCAGGCCATAAATATTGAAGCCATCGGCTGTTGTACGCATCGGAACGACCAACGGTAGCATTCCTGAATGAAATGAACCCAGACGCAGCGATGCGCTCCTCGAAGCTGCTCTGCGACGGGGTCCCGCCCGTCAGGATGCGTTTTCATAGTAATGAATGAGTACGGAGATGCCCAATCGGTAATTACAACCTTCTAACGAACACACTGCTTACCTCACGGTGCACGCGTGTACCATACATCAGGTTGGGGCAAATAAACGTGAATAATAGATTTCGATTTGGAGCCGCAAGCGCCCTGCGAGCTAATACTGTAATTTTATCATTTTCAAGAAAGCGATTTGCGCGTTCGCGCACCTTACACGCTCGTGTGAGCAGACTGTTCCAGGCGGTGGAAAGTAAAAGTCCATTTATCAGACGGGCGCGAATTCCAATTGTCTACTTGCCGAGTTTTACACTTTTTACTTTCCATTCCAACATTCAAGAAAACATTTATGAAAAACATTCCTCATTTTTTCCTTGCAACAGCCTAATTTGAATTTATTTGAATAGCGCCCCCTGGCGGGAGCCAATACGTTGACTTGCGCAATGCGCGCTGAAGCAGCGCGTCGCGCGCGGTCCGCGATTTTAAGCGTAACCTCGCCATTGTGCACGCATATTTCGCGTTTGTTACCGTTAGCCGTCCATCTTTGTATTGTGTCCTGCTAATAATTAATAGTGTGTGTGAAATGGTCCAGAAATGTTCCTGTTCTGTTCCGGTACTGCTCCTGTTGGTGAACATCAGCATCTGTGAGGTAAGTGTTGCAATTGAATTCCTATTTTTTTTATCATCAAACATATTCTAATTCCAATCAGACTTAATATTGTCGTGTCCAGTGATTAACTCCTTTGTTTTAATCTTTGTTGTAGCACTTGCCTCGATTGTGCGGGATGCGACGACAAGGTAAGTGTTAACATGCGTGAGTGTTTGTGTATAAATCGCTTTTTTATCGCCATCCTTCTGGATCTTTCCGCGGGTCGTTGCAGTATTCGTAGCGCAATTGAAATACGCGAAGATAACGATATTTTGATATATTGTTGATATAAAAACATCGTCGACGTTTTGTGATTTTACTCTGTTTACTGCAAAACGTAAACAAACCTGCAATACTAAGTATATTATACCTACAATAATTATAGCCATTTGAAATATTAAGTTTAAATGGCATAATTATAGATTGAAAGTCTCGTGTAAAGTACTTCCGGCCGGAGGAGCACCTGTGCACCATCAAATGCACATATAGCACTTATGAAATGAACCCAGACGCAGCGATGCGCTCCTCGAAGCTGCTCTGCGACGGGGTCCCGCCCGTCAGGATGCGTTTTCATAGTAATGAATGAGTACGGAGATGCCCAATCGGTAATTACAACCTTCTAACGAACACACTGCTTACCTCACGGTGCACGCGTGTACCATACATCAGGTTGGGGCAAATAAACGTGAATAATAGATTTCGATTTGGAGCCGCAAGCGCCCTGCGAGCTAATACTGTAATTTTATCATTTTCACGAAAGCGATTTGCGCGTTCGCGCACCTTACACGCTCGTGTGAGCAGACTGTTCCAGGCGGTGGAAAGTAAAAGTCCATTTATCAGGCGGGCGCGAATTCCAATTGTCTACTTGCGGAGTTTTACACTTTTTACTTTCCATTCCAACATTCAAGAAAACATTTAAGAAAAACATTTCTCATTTTTTCCGCGCAACAGCCTAATTTGAATTTATTTGAATAGCGCCCCCTGGCGGGAGCCACTACGTTGACTTGCGCAATGCGCGCTGAAGCAGCGCGTCGCGCGCGGGTCGCGATTTTAAGCGTAACCTCGCCATTGTGCACAAATATTTCGCGTTTGTTACCGTTAGACGTCCATCTTTGTATTGTGTCCTGCTAAAAATTAATAGTGTGTGTGTGAAATGGTCCAGAAATGTTCCTGTACTGTTCCTGTACTGCTCCTGTTGGTGAACATCAGCATCTGTGAGGTAAGTGTTGCAATTGAATTCCTATTTTTTAATCATTAAACATATTCTAATTCCAATCAGACTTAATATTGTCGTGTCCAGTGATTAACTCCTTTGTTTTAATCTTTGTTATAGCACTTGCCTCGATTGTGCGGGATGCGACGACAAGGTAAGTGTTTACGTGCGTGTAAGTGTTTGTGTATAAACCACTTTTTTATCGCCATCTTTCTGGATCTTTCCGCGGGTCGTTGCCGTTTGAAGATAACGATATTTCGATATATTGCTGATATAAAAACATCGTCGACGTTTTGTGATTTTACTCTGTTTACTGCAAAACGTAAACAAACCTGCAATACTAAGTATATTATACCTACAATAATTATAGCCATTTGAAATATTAAGTTTAAATGGCATAATTATAGATTGAAAGTCTCGTGTAAAGTACTTCCGGCCGGAGGAGCACCTGTGCACCATCAAATGCACATATAGCACTTAAGCACTTTTGGCTAGTGCTAAACTTGGTATCCGTCCCTCAACCGTGCGTTTTTAATGGTGCCGCGTCTACCTGTGCATCTTTAGAGGCAGCTAGGTGCTAATTACAGACTTACAGATCGTAAATACCAGAAAGTACGAGGATGTAGGCAATATAACTCAACGATTTCCTCCCTCAACATGCCCCATTTCATGAGCGAACGATTTTTCAGTAGTCGGTGGCACACAACATTTTAGCACCCTTCTAATCGCCGGGCCCAGACACTAACCTGTCAATTAAGAGGTGCCGAGGCGGGCTAATTACATTGACATTCCGAAGGTTGGCAGGGGCAAAAAAGCGGACGCGCGTCAAGCGGTACAGGTAGTGGTGTTGTTGTTGTTGTTGCTGGTGCTGCTGCTGATGCTGGTGCTGTGACCAGATTATCGTCCTAGGTGCCCACCGCGACTCTTCTAGCGCTCGGCAATGAATCGTCATTACCGGCCGTGCATACACGGTGGCGGCTGGACACTCCCGGACTCCATGATAAGATCGTTAATGCGATGGCAATCGCACACCTAAAGCTACCCCCCGTTAATGGCCGCCATTACTCTACGCCTTAATCAAGCCGGTTGACACCGTACGACTGTGTCGCGCGTTGCGTGATTCTAACATGCACGCCGAAGAGTGCTGCTGGCGGAGAGGATGGAGGTGAATTTACGCGAGTACACGGCGGGCACACGTTGAAAGCGCCGGCAGATTCGCATTCGTTCTACGTTACTGCTTACTTAGCGTGGCGCAGGAGCCGCAGGATGCGCTCGCGGTAGCCGATCGTGTCTGGGCATAGCGTCTTAATGAGGCCTCCGGACGCGTGCACATATATCAGCGCCTCGGACGCGATATCGGTTTAGATAACCGGCTACGGTTAATTAGTAAAAAGTGCGCGAGAAGAGACCGAGGCGGCCTTAATTAGTCCCCACGTCACCGGCAGCGCCGTCGGTTTCGCACACGAAATTGTCAACTGCACGTAATAAGTCGGGGCACGCTCGTGTCCTTCGCTCTCGTCCGTCCGCGCCGTGTAATAATAGCCTAAAACTATCCGAGCTAAATTATTAGTTGCCCGATTGAATGTATCGAAAGTTGATTAATAGGTAATTACCTCGAAGGTATGCCGACTGGGCGAGTACCCAGCGCACAATCTTTCCGAACTAAGCGCGTAATTACGTGTGGGCCACTTAATTTTTCTCTGCGGAGGCCACACCAAAACCATCTTGATAAATCGCTACCCGAACGCATACGAGTTTTTAAATTTAAACGCAATCAACGAACCGCCGGCCCGATAGCGCGCCGAAACGGAAGCAAACGCGCACGCCGCTTGAATGCACTCCAATTCTTCTTCGGTTTCCACAAACTATCGGTATAATTGGTATAAAAAGATATGCAATGAGACTAGTAGTGGCCGCAGTCGCAGCCGCAAGTGGGCGGGTTGCACGGTAGCCGCGAAGCTGTTGCTCGATGTCCGCGCAACTACCCGCGCTCGCATGGCAACAAGACGAAGACAACACAAGAGAGGCACGGCCGCCGCTCTGCGTACGCGATGAGCATCATAATCGGTAAACGAAAACCCGCCGTGCGCATTTAAAAACACAACGTGCGCGACGATACGACCGGCCCGGCGGAAACCTTTAATGGCACACACGTGATCTGGAAAATCGTAATCTGGTTGATGCGGCTGAAATATTTGCGCATTCACAATAAGCGTATAACCCGGAAAAATGCGTGCGGCGACGAGTTGCCGGCTTGTCGCGCCTGCCAAAGGGCATCCGCTGGCCTGCGACACGCCAATTGCAACAATACGAGCAAAAATTAAACGACGCCATTAAAATAAGTGGCGTATAGTTGTATCTCGACATGCTTATTCATAACTATTAACTTGCAGCTACGCACGCATCTGCACCGGCACGCGTCTTCACGGTAATCACTGCTTTTTGTGGTTTGTCTCCTAGCGCATCGCGTGCAAACATTCCGGCCCAATCGTAAACCCGTTTAATTTGATTACTTACCAATGGGAAATATCACCAAGTGACGAATATGTTTATTGTCACTTTGGGATAGCGCATTTCCAACTCGGCGCAGTTATAGCTGTAATAAGGAAACATATCTGAAACGGGTTACAGATTTATTTTATGGCGACCCGTTTCCATCGTAAAAAATCCACTGCTCTGCACTCCCGATGCATATTTTAGAAATGTCCTCTTTCCTATATATAAACAAATTATCTATCTATAAGCTCGCGTGCGCGCGCTCTCGCATTTCCGTTAGAGCCGATCTTTATTTTTATTCTGTCGTCCAATAACACGGCGATAATTGGATGCTGTGTATGAATTAAATAATTAGCAATCTAATCCTGCGGCCGCAGTCGACCGGAGGGCGACTCCCGTTGGACGGCGGCGGCAAAAAATTCCAACATGAGCCGTAATTAAAAGCGCTCCCGGAGAGTTTAGTTAACGTTAATCAATTAGATCGCTCTTCTTCCTCCTCCGCCTTCTTCGGGTGTCGGCGCGCATACTTTGCTCCTCAATATATTTATTGCTCGATAACTCGTCTCGGACCGTTTTGCGGCCGCTGCTTATAATGGGCCCTCTTCTATGTCCCTCTGCTGAATGCGCTTACCTACTAATAAGCGCTGGAATGCAGTCTGCAGGTTATATAGGAAATCGATTATACCGAGCGAGGATAATAATAAGTTGGACACATTAAAATAATGGCCCAACGTATCGGCATAATAAATTGTTGCCATCGGAGGCCGGGCTGCTTGTCTTGCTGCACGTTTCAACAATTGTGTGGTTTTGTCGGATTGCATCAAAACAGTAGCCGAGAAGAAGAATAAAGGAGCAATCAGAAGAAGCTGAGCTCCAGACGTACTGCATGCTACCGTAAGACAAGTCTTAATTGTAATTACATGTTACACGAATTCCGGATCGCCCACTCACGTCTTATTTATTGGCCGGCTTGTCAGACAATTAGATCTTTGCCGTCCCGCCGGCCGGGCGTCCGTGAAGATGGAGAATTTAGTTGCCAATGCCACCGCACTGCGCGCTCGATCAACATTATATTGAATCCGAACCTGCGCTACGCACAAGCGCCTTAATTAGCCGATGATATTCCGTGATAACGATTACTGTGCATCGGCCGTATTTCAACGATTCCAATGCGCGTCGAATAAAAGGTTGCATTAGAATGGCGTCTTAGTGCTTTTCGCCATAGGCGTAAAACGTGGCGGTTAATTGACACCGAAGATGACGCATTTCAGCACCTGCGATTGCGCCATCCACTTTATTTGGGCCGCTGCCAACGGATTAACAATTTATGCGTATGTTTATTAGAAGTCATCCAGTTCCCTAGCCAATAACTACGACATATTTGTATTGATTCAATATTCGAAATGGACGACAACGACTCGGGGGCAATAAAATGCCTGAATTTATGTCTTTCACAGCTCGAGCTCAAATAATTAGCTTATCTTACGACTTAATCCGACGCGCTGAAAACGCACTCGAGATGGCGCTTCATTCTAGACTTGCTGCGTATTTAAATAACTTTTATGGAAAACTCGTCGGAATGTTGCGTAAGCAAACATGTGTAGGCAGACGAAAGGGGCTAGCCTGATCGGAAACCTACTCGCATTTGTGCAAAGTAGTGTTTGTTCATCAATTCACGCTAAACTAAACGTGATTGATAAATTATCAAATCTATATACGCGAAGCGCGCTTTGTTTGAGTACGCATTGTGTGTGTTTGTAAACGAGATGCTAAAACTATCTAAAAGTCGACGGCTAGATTCGTCCTAGTTTGTTGTTTTTTGTTTTAGCATGTCGTTACAAGTTTAGAGAAGTATAAAGCTTGCACTGCAGCAATTTTTATCCGTCATTCAGCCGCAGTCCCTTTGAAGGTTATTCATCAAATGCCGCGTGCGCTGCACAAGACTGGCGCGAAATTATGTAATTGCACGTTCACAAGTCATAATGATCCTAAACGGGCACGAATCTAAGCTAAGTACGCACGATCCATTAATATTACTTAGAATCGATAAAATTTGGATACAATGGCTGTAAAAATTAATGATATTACCGAGAACGAGCATAAATAACACAAGCGATACACCCGAGGATGATTTTATACGTCGCGCGCTGCTTTTGCTTTCCACGTGGCTCCGATAATGGACTCACAATGAAAATGCACGCCTAGAAGTCACCGCGAGATGGATGTGTGCGCGGATGGCGGCAAGCACACAGTTCAGTCATAAAAACGGAATCATCGTAAACGTCTCTATCGGGAGAAGTGCGTCCACACGTGGAATACTAATACATGGCGGCGATTTTCTAGGAAGGAGCGGGCGGCTGCGCGTCGTTTAGCACTGAGAAGCGACCAAGGCGGCAGAACTTATTTTATTTCCATGTTTCGATTCGACGCCTGCTCACCGAAATGCATTACGGTAGCACTAAACCCACTCGTAACTCGTCGCGCGAGAGGTATGATAAAATTATCTCCGACAGCGTCCGAGGATTCAATTTTAATTGGGCTTCGAATTTAATGGACTAATCAGTATTGCCCGAATGGATCACCTCGAAGTGTTTTCTAATTCGTGTGAACAGCCACAATTGTCACACAGTAAAAAATGTTGCACGGAATATTAACAGC